CTACTACTGCGACTGCTGTTACTACTACTGCTACTACTGCGGTTAATCATGCTGCTGCTGCTACTTCTAGTGTTCCTCTCCTGCTACTGCTACTGTTACGACGACGACGACGGCTACCCCTACTACTACTACTACTACTACTACTACTACTACTACTACTACTACTACTACTTACTACTACTAACTAACTAACTAACTAACTAACTAACTAACTAACTAACTAACTATAAACTAACTAACTAGCTAACTAATTAAGTAACTAACTACTACTACTACCTACCTACCTACCTACCTACCTACCTACCTACCTACCTACCTACTTACCTACCTACCTACCTACCTACCTACCTTCCTACCTTCCTTCCTACCTACCTACCTACCTACCTACCTACCTACCTACCTACCTACCGACATGTATACATAGATACATGCACATGTGCATGCACATACACGCACACCCATGCCTCCATACAGGTCTGTCAAACCCAGTGTGGCTTTTTGTGATTCCCTACATCCCACTCACTCGGAGAACTACGTGCATCGACCGGCCAACAACGCTGCCGCTGCCTGCAAGCTGAGACGTGGAGCAGATGCACCATGGTCTGCACAGATGAAGCGCGCCACACCACCTTCACAGACATGCAGATACAGTCCAACACCTTGTGCTTAACGCATGCTTGGTACGATGTACTGTGTGTGAAACGAACCAGCCAACACCATCTCGCACGCGCACACACACACACAGACAGACACACACACACACTTGTGCAGATCTCCAATCCGAGTACTGGGTCCTTTTGCCTTCTACATGCATCAAAAAATCCCTGAACCTTGCACTCTCACTCACTTGCGTGGCAGCATGTGCAAGCAGGTACACGCTTGAGCGTCCTCAGGTCCTTCCGCTGATTTGCCGTGGATTTGTTGGACAGGATACGCAAATCAGCTAGCTCGTGTCCCCGGCTGAATTATACCGGCTCTCCTGATCATTACTTAGAGCCCTTGGCTCACAGGATGTACACACACACACACCCCTTCCGAAGAAGGGGTTCTGAGACTTCAAGTTCCTCTACGCAGAGTGTTCGGTACAAAGCTCAATGCTCCAGGCGCACAGCTGACGTACACTGTTGAACAATCTACCAGACGCTAGTCCGCATCTTTGGCTCACAGGCGGGACACACACACCCCTTCACGAGAAGGGGCAGTTGTTGAACGATTCACCGGTTCTACCTGCAGACAAATGTCAACTTGCATGCAGTCAGAAGAAATAAACGCGAAGATCCTCTCTTACTGTATCACTCATACGGCTTTGTGTCTGGAATGTTGATTGCGGCCCTCCCGGTCCGACTCCGCTCTTTTGGAGCCCAGGGCTGTCAAATTCGACAGCAGATTGGAAGTGACTTCCTGCATTTTGCGTTATTTCCCAAAATCTCACCGAAGCAAGCAGGCACACTGACGGTCTTGCAACGCTTGACTCATACGACTGTGTGTCCGGAATCCACCAACTGGTAGATCTAGTCCTGACTCTGCTCTTTCAAAACAAATAGATGCGACAAAAGGCTTGCACGGGCACGCCCCTGCTAAACACACTCGCTGCATGTCTCGCACGGGCTTTCGTGGGTGGCCAAAAAAATTCCAGAAGAGCTCTTCGCACAACATGTCGTTGTACGAATAAGATCCCAAAATAAGTACCAATCGTCTGTAAAGCCACACTGAGCGCCTGAACGGCAATCAATAGTGTCAACCTCTCACAAAGACCTACGCAACGACACAACTAATTGTGTTAGAAGTGTCCCGCTTCTGTCAAGTGTTCCGATCAAGGATAACACCAGGGTATATCAGAGTCAGAGTCAACGTCTCCTGGCGATGATTGGAAAAACGATGCACGAACAAGACTAAATACCATCGTCTGTAAAGCCACGCCAAAATGCCGGAATTGCAATCGACATTGTCAAACTCTCTCATGGAGAACTATGCAACGACGCAACTGATTGGGTCAGAGGTGTCCCGCCCCTGTCAGGTGTTCCAATCTGGGACCGTAGCTGCTGAAGCAGCTCTGCCACAACATCGATCATTTCAGTCTGGCACTTGATTGGAGAATACGATGCACTGGAGCAGACTTCGCACATGGGCTTTCGTGGTGGCCAAAAAACTTCCAGAAGAGCTCTTCGCACAACATGTCGTTGTGCGAATACGCTCCCAGAACAAATGCCAATCGTCAGTATAGCCACACTGAGCGCCTGAACTGCAATCAATAATGCTATCCTCTCACAAAGACCTATGCAACGACACAACTAATTGCTTTAGACATGTCCCGCTTCTGTCAGGTGTCCCGACCAGGGAACGTCGCGACAAAGGACGTGCAAGCTTGAGTGGCAGCTGAAACTTGACTCCTCAGAGATCTTTAGGCAGCCGTCGATATTCAAACCAATCAAGTAGTCTTTCTACCAGTTGGTAGATCTATTCACGCAACAAACAGCCGCAAGCACTTGCTTTCATCACTCCTGTGAATGGGTCAGACACGCTTCAAGACACGAAAGACAATCGCAACCGCAACTCTTGTTGGACAAACGAAGCACGAATAAGAATATATACCAGTCGTCTGTCAAGCCACGCCAAAATCTTGCTTTTGGTAAAAGCTCCCTAACCGTGAGCTCGCAGATGCGCTGGTCATTCTCCTTCGCAACTGGGATTGCGCGGATCTACTCGCAGCTGCGCTCCAGATCTCTCATTCAATGATCCCCAAACCCGTCAATCAAGCGCATCTCTCGGATGCAGACCAATGACAAACACGATTTTTCACTGGCTCTCAGGTGCAAGATGAAGCAAAGGAGACTGGCTTTGGTCAGCGTGTTCCGATCAGGGAACAATGCCGGCCATTGACATGACCCCTTGCACTCTCACTCACTTGCTTGGCAGCATGTGCAAGCAGGTACACACTTGAGCGTCCGCAAGTGCTTCCACCAGTCCTTGGCTCACAGGATGTACACGCACACGCATGTACGTATGTATGTACATATAAACACACACAAACACATACACACACCTATATATATATATATATGTATATATTCTTACATGCGTACATTCTGTGTCTATATAAATATATATATATATATATATGTACGCAGGTATGTATTTGTGTATGTGTATGCACGTGTATGAGAATGTGTGTGTATATGTGTATGAGTATGAGCATTTACTTAGAAAACATTTCACACACACACACGGGGTGATTTCAACTCATGCTAAATCGTACGACACTGCTGCATCGGCGTTATGTTTACAGGCAGGATTGCTGCAACCGTGCTTGTACGGCATGTCAATGTCATGAAAATCGAAAACTGATTTCGTGAGCAGAAGAGGCGCCGACAGGCGCCGACTTTCTTGGTGGATTGGGCCACCTTCTTTTCGCACGTACACAGTTTGGCGTCGCAAATCTCTTCGCATCGTGTTGTCAGCTTCGCTAGCCATCGTCACAACACCATATGCTGGCCCGCTACAATCAATTGATGTACCTAGACTGGCAAGTGCAGTAACCCACTTCGCACGTGAAAGACGGTGGCGCAGGCCGCACACAGACACAATTCAGAGAGAGAGAGAGAGAGACAGAGACACATGACTCAATCATGAGCCCTTTCGGCAACGGACCGAAGCCCTTCGCGCAATTTTTTCTGAACGAGACCTCGTTTCAAATCGACGGGTCCCAACCAAGAAGCGACCAAATGATAAAAGCACAGTCAGCTTGGCTGACCATGTCTCAGCCAGAAGAGACTTTGCTTGGACGCACATGCAGTGCTCCCAGGTCTCTAGCTTCCTCAACTCCAAGCAAAATGCACTTAAGGATCAACCTGGGCTCCCCTGGCTACGTACCCATGCATTTCAGAGTAGGCTTGCATAGAATCCGGTCGGCCTGGACTTGATGGACGGTTGTTGTGCCCTGGTGCTGCCCGTGACTGAGCGGAAAAGGCACAGGCAGGTGGTTGGTGTCCCACCGAAAAGGAGAGCAATTTGGAACGAGCCCTGAAAATGTTGCTCACTGCATTGATGGATGCAGCTCGTGACAGGGGCTGAGCCCTACGTACAACGACATCTATAAGTACGCTTTTTGCTTTTCTAGTTTCACACGGATGTTCTGGCAAGTTGATCTAGTCAAGCACCTGCTTACAACTAGGTTCTGCCAAGGGGCTTCCCATCGTTTGCAGTGGTTTTCGCTGTGGAGAATGCCATGGTGTATGGACACATTGAGTCCTGCTCAAATGAAAGTCTCGTGCCTCACAATTTTTCACAGATGCCCAAGCCTGTATCAGGCTGTCCACGAGCACGGCTGCATCACAGACAGAGCCAAGAGATATATTCACATAGATGCTACTCTGCTAATCGTCACATGGCTGTTTGACAGCCAAGCAGCGGAAAGCCAAAGACAAATGGGACTGCTGGTTGGACAGCTCCGGCAAAAAACGCACTTCCATTGAGGTCGCACGACCATGCCCGCAGGCGTCACAAGTTAAACTTGCAGATGCAAGGCGGCCAATGTGTCAATTCGTTAGGTGAAATGTGCAAACATGCGCAGCTTGTGATATTTGCAAGGGGGTCAGACAACCTAGGCAAGGCTCTGGACTGCATTTGCTTCGCTCTTGCATCTGTTCGCACTTGCAGGTGCGTCCGTGTTTGGAGCTATAATGCAAGCCTTGTTCAACACAGGGCGAGGTTATGGCAACTTCCTGGAATCACCGAGAGCGCCAAGTCGAGGCGAGTCGAATGAATTCGCAGCCGTTGACCCGATGTGACATGACAAAACTGATGAAACTCAATCTCTGGCAGAATTTGCCGAGAGGATCCACCTCGCTCAATGTCTCAAAGTCATAATCCAAAGTGCATCGTCTCTGTCGCTGTCCTCAAATCAGAAGAGGCGGCAACAACCCATGCAGCCCCAATCATGACAAAGTCTGAGGATGCAGACCACGAATCAGCTGGAGGACAGGCGAACAACCTCCGGGGTGCTACCTGTCATGTCTTACAGGCCACAGAAGACATCGTCTCTTGCCAGGACAAATGACAGGCAGAGATGAACCCTCGAAAGGCAGAGTCACCGCAGAAGCCGATTTGTGATACAAAGCCGATAGCCATGAATGTGTTTTTCGCCGTGCTTGTGTCCAGCTTCTCCACAGTTACACTACTCGAGGACTGAAGTTGCATTGGGAATCAGATGCTGCTAGGGTTTGCGCCTGCCCATGCAGGACTGTTGGCTTCACGGCGTGGAAACGACGGACCCGTGAATCGCATTTCCTGGTCTGTGTCTTGTGCCCTTGCACCCGGTCTGCATCTTTGCAGATTGATCTTGATGCGTTCGGGTTGCTCACTGTTTGGGTGGAAAACAGAAAGGCGGTCAATGAACAGCAAATAGTTGAATCACACTTGCATTGGCATCGAGGCCTCTGCACCACAGCGCTCAGCTGCGTGCAATCCAGCATGTCGTCCCGCTGCCTGGACTAGAAGCAGACTTTTGAGTGCGAACTCTGCAAGGGCATACGAATATGCGCAGCGCCTGAAGGGAAGCCAGGCACGCAAGCGAGATAATCCACGCGAGGACTTTCTAGACCTCTGCTCAGCCTGGCCAATGGTGCTCCAAGCTGTAGAAAATCTTATCGATGATCGAAAGCTGTTTCAGAGGAACGTTCGACTTCTGCTCTTGCACGACTCTACCCTCCTGTGCAGCAGTTGCATCGTCTGACCGACGTGTCACGTGTATGTGGGTGTGCGAGTGCTTGTATGTCATTATCATTGGATGAAAGTACGTATCCGCGCTATCTATCAGAGAGATGATAGGTTCACTACTTCGACTTCGGGCCTGAACGCTTAAGGGAGACAACTATCCAGGGTCTGACAAGGGCCGTTCGAGCTGGAAGCATCAGAGAGGCGAAGATAAACGCATCTGCCTGTGGCGACAGCGACTGCACCGGCGAGTCCTTAGCGCAGCTCCCAGGCCGACATAAAGCGCATGCATGTGCGTGATCTCTTGGCCATTCGGCCTGAGATGATGTTGTAGATGAAGCCCGCTGGTTCCTGCAAGGCACCAAGCAAAGACCAATTAAGTGAAGTTGCTGACCACAGCAGTCTTAATCACGAGGTGTTGGGAGACCCTGCGGGCACATTCTCGAACTTGACCTTGTCCACTCACACATGCTGATGGGAGCAGCACCGACTATGTCAGACATTGCGGGGTCAGACACCTGACAAAGAGGTTTACATGCGCCCATTCGAACGACCCTGAAAGCCCAGAGGTGGTGCTGGTTCAAACTTGTCGCAGCACGGCAGGCTCCTTTACGCTGTCAAGAGGCTACGCATCAGTCGCACGGGCACAAAACCCACGGATCGTCTTTCCCTGCCCAATGTTCGCTCACCATCTTCGCCCAGCCTTCACTTACCATTTCTATCCGAACGCTTCTCCAAATCAACAACTGCTCCCGATCATCCTAAGATTCTCTCGCGGCTGATTCCCACTTTTCTACAACTTTCCTTGGGACGAGAAGGATCTCAGCCATGCTGGTTCCCAACAACCCCCATAGCAACCCGTCGGGGTAGGTCGCTCAATTACGGTCTCTTTCTTCTAGGTCCTAGTACGGCACCCTTGCAAAAACGACCCTAAAAAGGGCCCTAATTTAGGCAAATGCCCTTACAGCAACCCTTAGAGTATCTCCTTTCGTAACTATGGTGCTTCACACTTGCCTGGCTGGCGGCCCTGAAAATCCGCTGTGTATTGTATATACATGTACATACATATATTACTTTGTATATACAACATAAATATTTTAGGTTATATATGTACGTTGCATTGTATTTACTATGTATGTTGTGATATATATATATATAAGCAAGCAAGAGAGAGAGAGAGAGAGAGATTCAAGAGGCCCATGCCATAGCCTCGTGGAACGTGCTGAGAAAGCGCGCGCCGGCCTGGAAGAATCTGAAGCTCACTGAGCGGCATGTTTCTCGGACCGGGTGCAGCTCCTATTTTGGTTGAGATGCTGGCCTTCTCCACAACATATCCAAGCCAGATCTCCTTCGGCGTGCACCTTGGCACAGAAATCCACGGGGGTAGCTTTCTGCATTAATCTGCACTGAGACACACTATGGCGTCATCAAGAAACGGGTACGTTCAAGCCACACTGTGGAACTCACCAGCACAAGCCTAGCACTTCCTAGACCCTGTGCAGCTACAGGCGCCCATGACCGGTGACGTGGGTGACTTCGCCTGCAGCGGGGCGCACGGGCACATCCATGCTGCATGAGTGAGGTCTTGTTGCATGTCAGCTGGTTGAAAGGACAGCATACAGGACTGAAAAGTCTCAGCGATGTTCAGCGCATGCCTCTGCATCTGTTTTGATGGGCTGCTTGGGATCCATCAGAAACCAGTCGTCCTTCAGCAAACCAGACGTGCGGGGTCTCTGCAGCAACTGCGAGGATGTTCGAATATTACCTCCACACCAGTGACCTAAGACCAAAGATGTGGCTTTGCCATGCCATTGGCCATACCTGCATTGGACATGTACCTCCTTGTTTTCCTGCCTCAGCGGCCGCCAGCGCTGTAGGCCGTTCGACCGGATCTTTCTCCAGAAGGGATTTCAGCAGATGGTGGCAAAGGCCAGTGACATTCCTCAATGAGTTTTGGAGGCAACATGAGGGAACAGAGGCCCTCAGAAGGTATGATAAGAACGGACAAGGCAGGCAGCTGGATAACAACCGAAGGATTCGAATCGTTAGGACATCAGATGCCAAGATGCTGAAATATCAGTCCGCTGTAGTCTGCCTGACGGAGGTGTTGCTTCATGTGGCGGGAAGGAGATTTCGTAAATGCTGAAGAAAGTCGGCATGCCACAGCAAGCTTGCACTCTACCAGTTTATTCTACGACATGGCGCATCGTTTCACTTTATCGGCATCTGCCATCGAAATGCTAATCAGGAGGAACCCGGGCATGCGCGAGTCGCAATACGATGGCGTTGCCTCCGTGCAAGTTGTCCTGTACTTGGTCTCCTCTGCTGGCGTTTCTGCACCGAAAGGTTGCTGGCCAAGCAGAAGGGTATAGAGCACGACACCTGCCGTCGCCGAATGCGTACTTGCACAAGGGAGAGAGCTGCGCTCTACAGAAGATTGAGCTCTGACTTTAGCATCACCAATCAATCCGACTAGCTCGGCAAAAAAACAGAGAGACTTCATCTCCGAAAGTCGCTATGGGCCCCTGCCTGCAGCAAAAACATCTGCTGGCTCCAAGGCCGGCGTGTAACGAATCACCTGCCAGAGAGCCCTGCCCAACAAAAACATAGGCCATCCGATTAGGCCATCCTCTTGCCTCTCTTGGGTTTTTGACTTGAAAACCATTCCTTCTGATGTTGCCTCCACTTTCTGTGTTTTCTGTGCTTGACAGCCTTGGCTGCTGGCGTCACCGTGTGCGCAGTTGTAGGACAGCCGACACGTCGTGCCAATAGAGTTTACAAAGGCAGAACCAGTTTCCATGTTGAGGATATTGATCTCATTTTGGGGGGTGATGGTGTGGCGGAGACGGATGCAAGCTACACTAATTGCGCGCGCTTCTCGTCCGCTGATTTGCCACGCATCTGCACAAGTCGCAAGTCTCCCGTGAAGCTCTCTATTCCAGTCTCCTTTTCGGGGCCTCCGGAGCCATGTAGCCAACTGTTCCGACCTCACGCTGCTTGAACTGGAGGCTGAAAAGCGGATGGGCGGCTCCGGTTCGGTGCTAGGCTGCCCAGCCGGCTCCGCAGCTTCACGTGCTTCGCAGAGTGGAGCAGCAAGAGCGAATCCAGACAGCACGAGCTTGCTCTTCGAGTGTAGCAGGATGTGGTCCTGAGAGACAAGTTGAAGCTTCGACGGCTTCGACTTCGGCATCGCAAGATCTGAATTTAGAGCGAGGGGCGAGCTTCACGTCTCTGTGAACAATTCCTGCCACACTTGATTTCAGATTCCCTGTTTAGGAAGCGCCCTATGCGAAAGCTTGAAACTGGTTGAAACTGGGCCTCGCTGGTGAAGGTGCCGGATGCCAGCCAGAAGCTGCTTCTGCAGCAGCATGGCTTGGCCTTCGGACTGCCTGCCTTCCGCGATCAATCTTTGCGACCTGAGGTGTCAAACGGCGGCTCGCGGGCTACCCAATGACGGTGTTGTAGGAGAGTGGTGCGTCAACCAGCAACCCATCTGTTTGAGGACAGCTCAGCCTGGGGAAGCCATTGGGGCAGCTCTGTCTTGCTTTCTCCCTCTGAGACAGCAAGACTTGCCAGCACGTGCTGGGGACCTCCAAATGTGAGAGGCAAGTCGCAAGGAGCCCGCATCGCACCACTCCGTAAGCAGTGCCCATCCAGCCGGCACCCTTACAAGCCCATGCCTCAGATGATTGACTTCATAACAGACTAGCGCTCTTCATCAGTGAATCGCTTCATCTAAAGCAACACTCCGCAGCTTGATGCATGCAGACAAGCTGCAGGGAAAGTATCGCTCTATGACGCTGTGCGAGAGCAAGCATCTTCAGCTCTCGGGCAATTTCCTGGGAGGATGTTGCTCTAACCAGGCGTCTCAACTCCCTCAGGCCATTGGACTATATGACTATATGGGACTGATCAGTACATCATATCTACCCTGTACTGGAATCTCACGGCAAAGCTGGACGCGGCTGCGTGGCATTGGGAGGTTCACGGCTTGAAGCCGACTGTCCTGTTGGAAGTGTTTAAGACTGTGAAGCACGATCTGATTCCTTGAACACTCCGTGTGCAGTCCTGGTGGTGGTACCTGTAGCACCTGCATGACAAGCGAGGAGCTTGGAAGGCTTGGGAATCTAAACAAAGATCACTTTGACTGGAAGACGCGCACGACGGATATCGTTAGAACACGGGAACCATGCATTCCAACCGCTGCTCGGTCGACGATACAGCGCTCAATCTCCCAAATTACACGAGCTCACACGTACTCATTTCAAGTGCATGTTGCAGAATTCCGAACATGCCTTGAAGACCTTGACGGCTCGAAAGTCGGGTTGACCTTGAACACCTTGGAGGTTGCCGACAGTTCAGCGACTGGGCTGCAGCGAGCTGCTTCGGAAGTTCGCAGAGCCAGGCACTGTTGAAGAGACTGGGCAATGAAGTCAGTTGTGGTGTCGCCACGAGCGTTCCTGCACCTCCAGGCCATGTTGAGTGCATTCGAAATTTTGCACGGGAACATCCGGGTTGCTCCGAGGACCCCGCTCTGGTCGTCCTTCATACCGGTCATAACGCGATTGCCCTTCTCCATGTAAGTCTGCTCCTGGGAAGGACGGTCGACAATGCACGCATCCATTCGTCATGCATACAAGACTCCTGCACGAGCGGCGCAACGAGAGTGTTGTACACCCGAGCCCTTGACGTATCACTCACCTTGTTGGACATGTAATTCAGCATAGTGTGGCATAAAGTCGGTACTGTGGTTGGTCCGCCTAATTCGAACAAGAAGCTTGTACATGCTGGACAGGGTCCACGACAGTGTCCAGCACTGCGCCTAACATGTTGCGCCCTTCAGGAGCTTAACGTGCAAACAATCTGGCACCATCCCTACCCTGGCCTGCTGCGCACAACTTGTCGATAGTGTGTGCCACGACGGACCGTCTGGCATCTATCTGGAAAAGCCAACACCTGGAGGAGCACAAGTTACTCCTAGCAGAGCCAATGAGACTTGCTGAATGCCTGTCGATGGAGGCGGATAAGTTGGGACCTGAGGACAGTTGCACCATGCTGTGGCATATGACATAAATATCAATACTGATACTAAACGCAAAACCAATAGCCATACTCGAAATCAGAATCGTAGCAGCAGCAGCAGCAGCAGCAGCAGCACAACAACAACAACAGCAAGTAAGGCTGCACTGCTGGTAACGCTGATTGCTCCTATCTGCCATGGTGGCACCCAGAACCAGGCCACTAACGCTTGAGTATGCCGAGGTGTGATTGCCTGAATAGACTGACATGTAATGTTCGGAATGGGGTTTCTGGCTTAGCCCCTGGCCATATGCAATCGAAGTTTCTGGCTTAGCCCCTTGCCATGTCGATTCGCTGCAATTGTTTATGGAACCATATACAGCGGAAATCAGGATGTCACAAGCAGTGTTCGCATGGATTGAGTGTCCCCAATCCATATCACGACGAACTGGAAAGGTCTTCGTTGGGCAGTGCCTTCGAGAATGTCCACTGCCCCCCTGCTGAGAACGCTTGCAAGTACTGGGTGAAATCGACTCCTCAGAGAACCCTGAGTTTAGCTGTCAGGGTGCAACAACAACAACAACAATTGCAATTACAATTACAATTACAATCGCAGCAGCAGTAATCATATTCATATTGATTGCAGGAGGACGCACGGAACCCGGAGAAACCTGAGCTCTCCACAGCCGGCTTGCTCACGGACAACAATTGCAAGTTGACCTCTAGCATTCGCCTCCAGGGTTTAGGGGTTAGGGCTTCCAGTTCAGATTCGGGACAGTCTAGGAGGCTTAAGAGGTATGGCACAGCATGTAGCACCTTCGGCGAGACCGTGAGAGAGGACAGGATGAGCGGAATTGTCACATCACTGCGTCCTTAAGCGTGTTTCTTGATCTGGCACAGGCTTCTCCAGCAACCAGAATATGCCTGCTTGCGGAGGGAGTCCTGCTTCTGTAAAGAGGGTACAGCCCCTGAGCTTTGCAACCTGCGGGCAACTTCGTCTGCACAGCAGCAACGGACTGCCGACCTTCCAGCTGCTGAGGTGAGCACGTAAGCCGGGTTCACTGCTATCGACGGAGTTCGAATCAGAATCTCAAGCAACTCCTCAAGACCACCATGGCTGCATTTCGAACGGGTTGGTGACATGTCACCGCAGCACATGGTTGAGCGCATGTGCCAGACCGATGCTGCCATTCCCAGTATTTCCGGATATGCTGCACCGCCGACGCCCAACTCTTCGACACATACTGGTGGTCATCCGATGATGTGCACGTACCACTGTTTGACTGTTTGTCACAAGTAGTAGGAATGTGAAAAAAGTATTGCGATGCTCGATAACTGCAAAACAACAACCCACAACAAACACAACAATAGTATCCACATCCACTATCGTCTACTATCATCCACACGAGCACGCAGGAAAATTCTGCAAGCTTGTCGGCATTTCCAAATGAAGTAAGAGTGGGAAGAGAGGCACGGAAAACAAAACATACGCACATACAAATGCAAGACTGTCCAGGTACCGTTGAAATGACGACACCAATGAAAACGAGCAGCCATAACAGCAACACAAACATCCCGACGCATCCCGGCCATACCTTCGACAGCAACTGCCGCAACAACACTGACAACAAACAGTATGGTGAGCATTTCGTTCGCAACAACTTGCATTCCGCGATCCCATGCTCATTGTCATGCCGGCTGTTCGTCCCCAGTCCTTGGCCTGACTGTCTCGCAGTGGCGTGACTCCAGAACCCAGGAAATGATCTCCGGAGAGGTACATCGGCAGTTCACCTTCCACACAGCACGGCAGATTCGGCAGTGGAAGCAACAATAAATCAGCGGAAACTGTTGGGCGGGCTGCTCTCACCGCACGCGCCTCCAGCTGTTTCACACATGGAAGAAAGGCAGGAGGAGGCAATGGCAGCCTCGTGATTGCGACCAATTTCCTCTAACTTGCCCTGGAGCCTGGAGCCTAGCTCTAGCTACTGCACAGTAAAACTACACCGTCCGAGCAGGCAAACGCGGCACGTGAACGATGCTCTGTGCTGCATGGCGACCAGCACTCCGAGCTCTAATTAGTCTACATGCCAGCTTCCTGTTTCACGGCAAGCCTCCTCCTCGCAGGCACTGTAGGCCGCATTGCCAGGATTGGCCGACAAACCTCAAGATACAAAAACACGTATGTACGTATGTATGTATGTATGTATGTATGTATACATACATACATACATACATACATACATACATGCATACATACATACATGCATACATACATACATACATACAGACACACATCTATATCTATCTATATATATATACATATGTATAGACGCAGATATATCTGTACATGTTGTAAATACATAAACGACAACCTATACCACATACGTGTGTATGTGCGTATGCATGTACCCTACACATCTTTATGTATGTACCTGGTATTTAATATGTGTTCACAACATAAGGTACTATGTATAATACAGAATTGTCATATATGGTAGACAAGTTTAAGTTACAAAAACGTGGGTGGCATAATACAGTATGTATGTGTATTTATATATATACATATATATATATTGTATATGTTTGAAATATAGTCTAACTGTGATCTGTGTGATGTATATATATATATATATACACGTATGAACGCTATCTAATATGTAACATGTCTGCAAAAAGGCGCAGACATCACATACAACATAAACAATGATATGTGACACATAAGAACTACCAGCAAAATACAGTAGACAACACATATTCAAAATATTCTATGCTGCATCTGAAATGCAGTGTAGAAAATAAAGAAAGTGAAAGTTTTCAGTACGGCATAAACATATTAGATAGTGTATGTTCATACGTATATGCGATATACAATATGTAAAATGCAGTATGACATGTATGCTTTTTCATGTATCAAAATAAGACACAACATAGAATTTAGGGTTTAGGGTTTAGAGTATATGTCATATGTCACAAAAACATGTGTAATATATGACATATAGTATATATTAGAAAATATATCTGTTCTATACTGCAAAAAGTCATGAAATACAATGTGATACACCATGTATATATACGTTTACATATTCATATTCACACGTTATGTACACACACATATGTATATATGTATATATATATACATATACATATATTCGCTTACTTATTCAGTATGTAATATGCCCTGATTGTGATCTCCCCTAGCGATACTTGCATCTTGGCAAGAGGCAGTGTAGGATGTCCATAAGATCCTGCCATCTCCGAATCTTCCAGGAGTGCCAAGCAACTAAGCATCCAAATTCAGCACAAACACACAAAGGCATGCCCAAGCCTCTCCCACCCTGTGGACAGCGCGCTGCTGCCGCGGGGCGAGCAAGGCCAGGCATTCAGACCCAGCGACGCATGATGAAACAATGCCCTCAGAAGGCTTGAGCCATGGAAGCAACCAATGGACTGTGCCGATGAAGGGTCCAAAAACCTACTTGCAAATGAAAGCAACGCAATGTGAGACGAGCCTCGCCAAAGGACAGCCTGTCGCCTAGCAGCGCAAAGGGGAAGGGGAGGCTCGGAGGACGACAGGACAAGTATTGAATTGCCACTAGACCACTCTCGCTCCACACCGCACTGCACTCTTGCAGCCCCTTCTGGCCGAATCTTCGAGGATCAGCTGGTATTTCGCAGAGGCGGCATTTCAGCTGTAATCTTGTCTTGCACAAGCCTATTTTCGGACTTTGAAGCATCACGCTCAGCAATCCTCCCCGCCCTCACATTCTCTCCTCTCTGGAGTCTTGTCCCAGGAAAGCCTGTGCAGTCTCGATGATGGCAGAAGCAGCCTCCAGCAGCAGAGTCTAGGCTTCGTTTCAGTCTCTCGGGTCGGCTTCCAACTTGCGGCCGTCGATTTAATTACCTGACTGTTTGTCAGTTAACATGCCCGGCGAGGGATGTACCCCAAGTAGTTCAGGTGTCCTTAATTTGGTAAGGCAGACAAACAGATCATGCGGGCTGCAGGCCCCAGACTGGAGAGTGTGTCGGAGAGTGACGCATCGCATGGGTCTTTGCAGATGATGCTTCCACTCAACCTGCAAGGCCTTTAAATCACAAGCGAGAGTTTCTGTCAGGAGTTGACGAAAAACCTGTGCAGGCATCTAGAATTGAATCTGGTCGTAGATGCTTGTAGCTGGTACAAGTAGCTGCTACTAACCACTGATTTCTACTGATCTGTCTGAATCAATCACACTGGACAGCCAATGATGTTTCAACGGGGGAGCCAGCCGCTGGAATTTCTTACATCGCAATCATCTGGAGCGTTTCCCCAACACATCGAAGCAATGTAAAGCATATGGAAGGTCTCAACCGCCAGACAAACACTACCCCTGCACACCAAAATCCGTGCAGCATGCTAACCGCAACTGCAGCCTTGGATGGTGCGCGAAGAGAAGTTGCAAACGGCGTGTGCCGTGCAGCTGCCGCCTGATGCAAGCACAGCCACAACACGTCCCAATAACCACACGCCATGCCAAAGCTTCACCGAAGGTGAGTCCGTGGCCACAGCGCCAGGAAAGCTTGACCGCTGGTGGCAAAAGCCTAGCCGTGCAGGTTTGTCTTGCGAGGCAACGATTTGGCATGCTGTGCCGCAGCACTTCGTCTCGTGTGGATGTCATCATGCATCGAACGTGTCGAAGAACAAAGCTCGAGCCATGCCGCAAATTCTTGCTACGTCGCTATGGCCCCGCGCCGTTGAAAGGGCTTTGGCGAGTTCGTGCTCCTCCGCACACAGCACCAGAGGCCACCTGTCCATGCAACCACACCTTTTTTTGTGCTTGAAGCATGCTTCTTCAGCGCATCGTGAGAGTCAATTCTCTAGACTGTGGAACTGCATCATCCCATCCGCTTTAGAATCTAGAGTCCAGAACATTCCGAAGAAAGTACAACTCTAGCTGCTTCTAGCCGGCCACAAAGTGCGGTCAGCAATCTGGAATCGTTGCTCCTCGCCTCTCGAAACTTTCCGTGACCTGACATCCCGAAGGAGAACTCAAAAGGATTTGAGTGAAGGACCATGCCATGCACCTCTGATGCAGCTCGCAGCAGCTGCAACCTGCGAGAGCAGGCTAGATGGAACTTGCCTTTTTCACCTGATCAGCTGTGCCTGGAACGTCCTTGCAGTCGGCGCAAGGATGCCAGGAGAGCCTCCCAATTATGTCAGCCATGTGTCTACCACATTACTCCACAAAAGGACGTGTGGCAAAGCACCAAGCGGGACTATCTGTGACTCAAGGCCCACGCATCGTACCAACTTGTGATCCAATGTCCTGGCTGGTGCTTCAATGTCGCCCGTCTGCCGCTTGTGCAAGCAACGTCAAGAGAAAACACTTCCACTACATCCTGCGCTGCTGCCGGCAGAGGGGCGACGCCGAATACCTGCTAGCAGCAGCACCAGCCTGCATCCAGCTCAGCTTGTAATCGTCTCTTCGCACAGCACGAGAGGCTTGCGTGTGTCAGAATGGTTTTTGGCAGCCAAAGCCTTTCCAATGTGAGCTCGCCAACCACACAGCCTGCCACTGACTCATGTGCCGGAGCTCAGACAAGCAAATACTAGCCATTCGTGAGTATGTCTCCACTATTGTCAGTTGTTCTGGCTTTTCAACTACAGAATTTCGTTGGGAACCAGCATCGTTCTTCCAAGCTGTGGCGATGATTGCACCTACAGATGGCATGATTGCAACAATTTGGCGTTTACAGTCGGCACTCGACCCCGTGAAATTGCATATACACCGACAACCGTGGATCGGAAAATCAGGAGCGGTGCATAGTGGTTCCAGAGGTGACCTGCAGAGTTGAAGCAGTGTTTTGGAAGATGAAGTGCCTCTGACCTGGTTGGTCGAAATAGTCGCCGTGTGGTTTCCACCGGGTTTTTCCTTGGTACTCGTCAATAAGAGGGACCAAATAGTTCGATCTGACTGGGGTATACCTATTCCGCTACTCCGATTCTTGCGCTACAGCTCCATCCCTGACGTTCTCGAGAAGCAAATCTGTCGTCGCGAAGCCCCGTGGGCGTCAGCTCGCTCTGGGGCGTGTCAAATCACATTGTGGCGAAGCTTGCTGGCCAGTGCTTCAGATTGCTACATGGCCGCTTGGAACTGAATCGCAAAAGAACATCCCAAACCAAGCCACGAAAAGCAAGAGTGCTTTGTTGCTTTGGTTCGCTTTGCGTGAGGTGGCCGTTTAATATGTACAAGGTAGTTGTCGGCTCCTTTGGTTTGGTATGGCCATTCATTGTGTGCATGATGGCTTTGGTGTTGCTGTGCTGGGTATGTTGAGTTTGAGTGGGTTGTCGTCTCGTCGCTTCTCTGGGTTTCTGTTGCTTTCGTGTTTGATCTGTGATCGTTTGAATTGCGCCTGGCGGTTGAGTGCTTGCATTGAACACACAGCCGTGGTCAGATTCGACGCTGGTCCGCTGGTGATGCAAAGAGTCGGCCTGGCCTAGAAAAGCTCGGAGCTTTTCGCCGAAGAGGCTCCCATCTACAGCTGCCTTAGCCGCAAATGCGGAGCACTGCGTCAAACCTCGCCCATCGAAGAAATGGGGCTTAAGCCACCTCTCTCAAGACACCTCTGAGGCCGCTGCAGTCAGAGCAGCCAGCGCTGCACTGGGCCGCATGTCTGCACCTCCAGTCTTTCAAAGGCATCACAACAGCCGGGCCCACTCTCACTGAGGCCCGAAACTCGAGCGCATGCGATTTCCATCCTCACCGTCCTCAGGGTCCAGATTTCTGCCAAATACCACAGCTACTTGCCCTGCCTCTTGTGTGGGGGGGGTTCTTCCCTGCTGGTTCTGCCGAGGAATCCGAAGTCTTACACGCTGCACTCAGAGTCTGACGGATCCAGATGATGCACGGGGCGAGGAGCCCCCCAGCCTTCAAGCACATGAGCCCGTTTCAACTTTCAACCCGTTTCGCTCCCAAACACCGGCTGCGCGCCTGGGAACCCCTGGGACCCCCTGGGACCCCGGACAGAGCGACATCTTGAGCTGCAGAAGCTGCCTTGCCACGAGGCGGTTTTTTCCAGCGAAAGCTTCCTTGGTCTCTCACAGCTTACTCGCCTCCTGGTCCTGAGCAAGGGGGACAACATCCTGTGTTTACAACGAAGCAGTGCACCTCCGCGCTGCTTCGCTCCAAGAAGAGAGTAGCAACCATTGACCTCACATCCGCTGTCGGCGGCGGCATGTAGCTTCATGTCACATGGAGTCTCTGAATTGCCGAAAGAGCTGCGGCAACACGCCGCTGCGCAGCAAGCGTCGCTGCTCATGTGAGCTGCCCTGCGGGGCTGAGCTCAGACCCATCAGCGGGTGGTAGCTGAGCATGCGAGAAGCCTTGAGCTGCTCCAAGAGGACTCGCAATCCCTAGAAAGACAGGGGTGCGATTCTCCCGGAAGGTACGGTATGCGATTCAACACCAGAGTCTAGAGTCTCCGTTGCCTGCCAGAGGAGTGGTTCCCAATCGGGCGCTGTTGGACCTGAGCTTCCCGTGAGAAGTGAAGAGACGGCACACTCCGCAAGCTTCTGCACACCATTTTGGCACCGTCGGCTCCGAGCCGAACCACAGCTTCACGGGAATCAGAAGCATCAGACGAGTAGTCATGCCTTGCCGGAGTCGCAGGATCGCTTTTCCCTGACCCGGAGCCACCGCTTGCAGTGCAGTGCTCAGTGCTCAGTCACACCATGACCACTTCAAGAGAATTGCACGCTCCAGCTGCTTCTCGTCTTGAATGATTCTCTGAAACTTGAGCTTTCCATCAGATGCCTTGTGAATGGCAGCAGCCACCCTCTTTGCCACTCCTCCGAGACGTCCGAAGGATCCGGCCTCGACCTGGAAGATCAATGATCCGTCCAGCTTGAGAATGGGCGCTGGCGGTGAGAGGAGCCTCTTCTGCGCCTGAAGCATATCGTTAACAAGACATCTGGAGATCGCCTCGTACATCTCAAGACCGGTCTCTCCTGCAACAAGTGTTTTCTCGCCTTCTTCGTAGCCTCCGTGTTGGCCCGAAGCTTGATTGTATGCCTCCTGTTGTGCTGTAGATCTGTAGGGTGGGTTGCAGATGATGACATCGTATCCTTCTGAGTGGAGTTGGGCTCGCACTTCCGGAGCATCCAACTTTGTGAAGTCGACACAAACAACGCTGAAATTGCGCGCTTTGCTGGCAGGCAGTTGGCTTTCTGCATTGGCCTCGCAAGCTGCGATGGCACCTTCGTCCACGTCCACTCCCGTTCCAACGGCTTCTGTCTTGGCGAGGACGGCCAGCAGCAACGCTCCACAACCAACTCCCAGATCGAGAACAGAACTTCCTTGCCGCGTCTTCATGCATTCGATAGCAGTGTGGACTAAGGGAGCCGAGGACTTCCGAGGTCGAAGTTGTTCCGATGGCACCAGAAGTTGCAAACCACAAAACTCCACCGTCTCTCGCTGCACCTTTTGCTCTGCGAGGCTTCTTTCAAGAGAGAGGAAGCTGGACCATTTCACAGGGAGATCCCGCTGGACAGCATCGGCATCAGTTGGCGCCAGGCGCACAGCCTCGACGCACGTTCCGCTCAAGACGTCTAGCTGACTTCTGTTTTGAGCTTGCCCATGCGGGTCAATCACATCACGGCTCCGTCCCTTGGCTATGCGGAGAACCGCGAAGCCCAGCTCTTGTACAGCCAAAACAGCATCCAGTGGTGTGACCGCCGTGGGACCGCTTAAGCAACAGTCCATCTCGATCGTTGCGATGTGGCCGAAGTGCCCGGAAGGGGTGCTTGTCACAAGCCTGGCTTCTTGATCTAGACCCCCGAAAAACTCCAATGCCTCTTCTACATGTTGGGGAAAACCCTCGTGCTGATCTTTCGCGGTGATAAGCAGTGCATAGGTCCCTCGGATCGGCACGCTCGATCGGTCATATCCAGGCCGAGATAGCAGCACCAGACCTGCTGTTGCATCCCTGGCAGCCGAAGCTGGCACCCACTTGCCCCCAAGAGCCTGCAATGCCCAAGCCGTGAGGCAGTGACCGTGATCCGCAACCACTGGGAAGTCGCTTGGCTTGAAAACTACAGCAAAGGGCTCCCTGTTCCATTCCAGTCGAACCCCATCTGGCAGCTTCTGCATAGTCTTGGCAAGGCCACTTGGTAAGCACCACCATGAGCCCCGGCAGGGCGAAGACGCGAAAAGAGTGCTTGGATTAACGAAGGGTTTGTTTCACTCAAGATGTTAAGGAACTATCAACGCACGCACTGACAGTTTCCTGGTTTAGGGAACTTCAACGCGGCCACCTACCAACACGACTCATCACTCAAGCTTTGAGGACTTCCGTGAGGGCCACCCTGCCGGGTCACCTAGACGCTAGCCTGTCTCAGTCCGCCTCATCGACAGGGCTTTGCAAGCAGAGTCTGAGAGGTGAACGTCAGCGCAAGCGAGGCTACACGTCTGTAGATAACTCAGCTTCTAAACCCTCATACGTCAGATTGTGAAACAAATATAAACCACATACATGATTCCGGGTTCCACTGCCCAACATCCCTCGGGGTCTTTGTCGGATCCGGCCGGTTGGCGTTGTGATGTCTGTGACAGTCTTGGTTTTCGGAGGCTGAAATTCGGATCCTCGCCACGATGTGGAAAATGCCAGCGGAAGCAGGGATTCGACCTGCTTTCGCGTTTTCGACAAGCATGGCAATCTCGCATTTCAAACATGTCAAGAGCTGACATAAAGTCGATACTTGTATCTGCATGACTGTCGTTGTTGTTGGATTGTTGGGAGGGGGTTGCCGGCAAAACAAGCCCAAACCACTGGTGGCTAGCACCGGGGCGGGGCATGGCGGGGCGGGACCGCACTAGGGCTGGGTTTTACCCCCTGCGGCCCGAGTATGACCTAAAAACAGTGCTAAGTAGCGAGCCCGTGGTTTCATGCTCGTCCATCTCCAACTCCTGACCACAAGTTGCTGCTAGGCGCAAAGAAGCTTTCTCGAATGCCTGCCTTGGCTGGGGCGGACCGGAAATCTTCCTGAAGGCAAGATCTCATGTTTTGGCTCCGAAGCTGTTCCGTCTTCACAAACTTACCCGGTTGCCGTGGATGTGAAACTCGCGCTTGGCTACGCTTGAGACGACCGTAGTCGTGCAACAGAGAGTGGTGGCCAGGGGTTCGCTCTGCATGTCGCGTCGCGAGTTGAGCCTGCGGAAGGGTCCACAAGCCACAACTCGCCGTGAGGCCGCGGAGCGACAGCAGTAGGACCAGAACCAGCACCTTAGACCGTTTCTGCCAAGAAACACCTGCCTATCCTCCCCACTCCCCGCTGCATCACACTTCTCACTTCTCCCAGTAAGTAACTGTTTTCACGGCAAACGCAGAACCGAAGGCAAAACACAACTGCTGCCCAACTTGTGGGGCGTTTGCATTGGAAGCATCTAAGGGCCCTCAAACATGTCTCCGTTTGCAGGCTAGGCATCCGATCGATGTCACTTACTTGTTGAATGAATCCCTTTGGTGCGCCCAAACAGCATTTACATTTACATGTTGGCATCCTTGATTCCCTAAACTGAAAACCAACTGTGGATGACTGGACGGCTGAAGATCTTCAGCTTGAGCTGGGGCTTTCTGTCCGGGTGTTCGGCATCGAAGCTGGGTGATGAGGGAAGCCAGAAATTACACTCGGTGACCATAGCGATGCATTTAGGCAGATCGACGCCCAAGCTGATGAACCCCGTAGCTGCCAGGGAAGCCTCTTTGGCAGAACATTGTGCAAAGCGTCCCTATGCCGGATCTACAAGCACAATGTGGTCTCAAATCTTTCCGTGTCAGTACCCATCAGCTCGAGTCGAGGTGTCTCGAGACACCTTTACAAACAGCACCTGTCGCAAGCAAACGCCTGAAGCAAAGCTTTGCAAGCTGCTTTCTCGGGCTCTCAACTGACATAGGTGGCAGGACACAGACATCTTCGCAAACTCCTCGCTGCTACCCGTGACTGTTGTGCTTATTGAGGCGTGCGCCAGCGTCGTGACGACATGAAACCTGCACGTGACCCAAACTCGAGACAGACAATGCCGGGCACATCCAGAGACATCTCCTTACGCTATTTCAGGCACGGCAGGCTAAGGCAGGCAAGGGGCATGTCACCACTGAGCTCCTCTGCTGGCAATGTGGATTCCTTCGCAGTCTGCCAGCGGAACTTTTGCAGTTGCACCTGCGGACCTTTTAACTGTAAGCAGCCGTCCAACCAGGCAGAAGGAGGACTGCGAGAGACGCAGCTGGCGCACACCTCAAGCATCCGCAGTCCGCTGCATCGAAGCTCTCTGCAATCTGGAAAGTAAGGTTTCCGCAATGTGTGCTGCCAGGTGCCTGCTTTCAGGAACACTCGTTCTTGGCGTGCACGACTTGACTGTTCAGAACAACTGAGCTACGCGTCTCTGAGTCGAAGGTTCAGGCCAAGACATGGTCCCCAGTGGCGGAGTGCTCTCAGAGAGGGAGAAGTGCCGAAGGCCTTGCTCAGATTCGAAGGCACTTCGGGTGCCTTTGCCCTCTTTTCTAATCCTTGGCGGCTGCACGCGGCAGTGTTTGCCAGGCCAAGGCAGCCAGGAAGGAGCCGCAGGATGCCTCGTCGGCTGACAGAGCCTCAAAAGAGAGAAGACTCAGGACGAATCTCCGGTAGAGTCGTGATGAGTCTTTTGGGTCCTGGCCCGGCGTGCATAGGTAGAGCTCAACCTGCGCAGCTTCTTGCAGAATCCTCCGTCTTCAAGCAGCTGGGCTCCTCTGCAGAGCACAGACACAGATACACACATTGAGCACACATCGCCCTTGACATCACAGGCCGCTGTCGAAGTCCTTCTGCGCTGCCCCGCAAGCACTGCAGCCTGGCGTCACAAGCAAACACTACGTCGGGGCCAAGAACATGCATCCCCTAAACAGATGCAGAATTCGAACCAGCGTGCCCAACATGCCATGGAGGCCAGAGTGCCGACGGACCAGCGCAGGCCACTGCCCTGCGAGGATGCCATTCAGGTCGTGCTACTGGCAGATTGCTCTGATCACGTATGCCTCGTCTCAGGTCTGAGGCTGACACTGCAAGTCTCTGGGCACATCAGCGATCCTGGTAAGTCGGGAAGTGGGTCAATCGGGCACGGTAAAAAAATCTTGCCAGATAGAACCAGAGACAGAGTTAACATTCAGCCAGCTAGAGCTAGAGGTGCCCCGAGCATGAGCAAACAGGAGAAAAAACATGGACAAGTGCGTCGCAAAGAGTCTCCGAAGCTGTTTGTGGACCCGCTTAAGATCCTATGTGGCCCGCCAGCCCGCCCTGCCTCTCCCGAATCTGCGGCGCGTAGAACTTGGCCACATGGCAACAAGCCTAGCCAGCAGGTTCTGGTTGTCGAGGTAAAACCCAACCACTGTGCTGCACATGACCTGCTTTCCCAAACCTTCCGAATGACTACGAAGTCATGACCTGAGCATGTGCACCTCCCAGGGCTCCATCTGACTCGTCGCCTCCGGCGATGCAATGGCTTCACAGAACCCTGAAGACAAGTGACCGGCAGACGTGGCATGGGGCAGCTTCTTTTCAACAGATAGTGACGATCTATCTCCACTTTGGGCGAAATCGACTGGCACCGTCGCTCTTGATCGCGGTTAAAAGGCGCAGCTCTGAGAGCAAATCATCAGCAAGCTGCTGTGGAAACGGATCTTCTAAAAGCAAAGAAGGGAGATCTGCTTCACAATATGTAAAGTTGCGCAATCACTCATGGAACTGTGATGAACTGTGAACTATAATCATAAACCGACAGAGTCTCCAGGCGGCTTTTCTTCCCTACTTTTTGTAAAGATCGCTTTCCAGCTCCCACGGGAATCGCCCCCAGGTCGGCTTCTCCACGTTGTTCATCTTCCGGTATTCCTGGGAGCTATCTACGATAACAACGACCATGCCATGCAAATGATAACAGTAGTCGTCACGAGCGAATAAGTTCGATTGTTTTCCCTCGCGGCTGCAGCCTCAGCAGTGTACTCCTTTCCACTCTCGTCGTAATTCCTTGGCTTGTACTTCGCGGCACAGAGTGGGAGGCGGAATGAGCCGGCCGGAGCACGGGTGCTGCGGCATGGAAGGTCAGGTATCAGCAGACGGTATGCTGCGCAAACTGCGGTAATCATCCTACACTCGTCACTACACAATCCCTGCACGAAGCTCCTTACCAGTTCACATTGGAGCCAAGATTCCACCAGCCCAAGCGGCCAGAAAAGATGAGATAGAGGGTGCCAAACGGAAAAAGTACAAAAAACCTGCAGAAGCAATGTGCTGGGCTCTCTCACAAACTGGGATAAGGGGCTCTGATGATCTCAAGTGCTTGTAATACCGATGCTCGGGTTTCCTATAGCTTGAACTCGAGGGCTGATCCTACGGCCGAAATTCGATCCGTTCCTGCTGCGATAGGTGCTTCATAATTACTCGCCAACCGAACATGTATGAGGTGCCACGAGTCCGCGAACAAGCTGTACCCGAATCAGTCATAACCCCTCGCAAAGAAGCCCTCATTCGGGGCCGAGGCACACGACAGCGAAGGCTTGCTGCTCAAAGCCCCACTTGATGTAGCTACCTTCCTGGCCGCCATGCACCAAAGACAGGATCGACGCCAGCCAGCCTACTTGCTTCTGGTAAAGCGTATCCGTGTCTGGCCAAGGCTCTCCCGCAGAACCATCACTTGTGCCTGGCCCAGAGCTGACTCTTTGGCTTAGCTGACTCAGGCTCAGAGACGCTTGGTGCCCTGCCTAAGAACGCAGAAAGCACCTCACTGTCAGCCTTCCTCAATGCTCAAGGCATGAATAAGTCACGGCAGAGATCTTCGATTCTTATTCTTGGGACTGGCGTGAACAAAGCCGAAGCATTGCAGCCCTGGGTCGCCACTTCTGGCAGTGCAAAGATGCCAGCGCCTGGAAACACTTGCACTGAGCACATCTTTGACACTGCGTCGCGGGCTTCCCGCCATGCCTGCTGCCGCAACGTCGGAGGGCTTCGGGCCGAGCCCTCTTGCCTCGCCAGAACGGCCAGCTTTGTGAGATGAACCAAATGTTTGCATCTTAGCCTGCCCAGTGGTGTGGTGGTTGGAGTCGAGGGTCTGGGTCTATCTTTGAGGGTGTCAGGCTTGGCGTGTGAAGCCGGGGATTGATCTTGCAAAGAGCTCCTCCACAGGCTTGGTGGTTGTTGGTTCGGGGGGTGTACACCATGTCGGAGGCATGGCTGAGATGCACTGCTTGCTTGGATATAGAGCCCTAGCGTGAAGGCAACGAGGGAGGGATGGTGGAATCTCAAGCAAGGCAACTTGCAACATCGCGATAGGATTTTGCATTCGGTTCATGCGATGGTGTTGCTAGGGCGTTTACGGGTGCCTTTCATGCTTATCGCCTTCGGCTGCGTCACTGCTGCCCTCTCAGGTCTCTACGCACAGCAACCCGCACGTGACTTTGAGAAGGCTTGGGGAGGCATTCGACGAAGACGGAGTTCGGCACGGCATGCGTCATTGCGAAAGCTCCGAGATGGGAACACTGCTGCCTGAAAATAGCCGAAAGATCTGAAAGTCACAGCAGAGCATGGTAGTCTGCATCGGGACCGATCAGTGTCGCCGCTTTGTGCGACTGCAACTGCATGTGTGGGAAAACGTCTCAACGATGCGACCGCATTCCAGTACCCGCTGGACTGAAGTCTACGAAGATGCCAACACCCGCATGGCATCAACAACGACTGACGTGACCACGAAGTGATTTCACTCAGTTTTCAGTGTGGCATCCTGCACCAAGCCTGACCGGCTGGACCCACAAAGGTCAACGCAAAGGTTCCGAAAACCTTAGCTGGGCTGACGAAGCATACTTTTCTCGATGCTTGAAGGCCAGCAACTGTTGCGACTACATCTGTTGCAGCTTAAGCGCCAGTATCACTGCCAGAACGCCTGGCCTGAATCGAAAAGTTAACAAGGAATGACGTGCTCACCTCCTTGACTCCAGTTCTTCATGCAGGGTGCATGCCTCTTGGCATATCGGCGCTGCTGCATCATGGCTCAAGGGGTACTTGCTTGATTCGGGTCGGTGTGGGATGTAGGTCTGCGTCAGCGTGAGCAGGCTGGTTTATAGCGGCAGGCGTGCTTGTCGCTTCGGTGCTGAACGAGACCCTTCACGCAGTATGCCGGAGGACGAATCACATCATGGCATCTGTCGAAACACAGGATTACTGCTACTGCCGAGCTTTTGCGGAGACACTAAAACAAGCGCAACGGGCACCTCCCAGGCTGCCTGGTCATGGACCTGTTCCAAGCACGGGTCTCATATTCATCGTAACTACTGCGGTTCTTAGCCAGTAAGGGTCACTGCATGGTGCTGGGATGACCAGAAACATGCTTATCCTCCTAAACTCATCTTCATGCGGACGGTAATGACTATCGGCACATGAATGTTCCTGCTGCTACTGCTCCTCCTTCTCATTCTGCCACCACTACCAGCACCACCACCACTACCTACTACTTTTTCTGCTGTTGCCACTCTCCCTGAGCATCAGATTTTGTCCACGCCATCTGTCCTCGCCTCTTCCAGAAGGGATGGGATCAGCGAAACCGCGAGGTGCAGCCTGTCATGCCGCAGAAGCACCCACTAAGTCACTACCCGTCCACTGCCCCCCGGGTGCTTCGGACCAAACAGAGCCCCCAAGATCAAAGGCCAGACCGCTGATTCTGCCAGGGCTGGGCCTTGTCCTCATCACCTGCGGCTGCTCATATCGGCATGATGCATCCTTTTCTGATAGACCCCAACGCTGCTTCGGGCATATGGGTGATCGTGCAGGTATGGAACCTTGCGACCGGGCCTCCGCTACAGATGTCAGAGAGCTCTTGCCATCTGGCCGTGTCAGCGCTTGTCCATCACTACCTCAGCTTAGCAAAGTCGTGCGACAACATGCAGGAGCTTTGAAGAGAAGGCCGCCATCTGAGAAGCTAGCAGTGCAAAGCAATGAGCGAGCGTGCCAACGCAACGGCAGTCCGCCAAGGAAGAACCTCGACAACGTATGTGTCCTACTTCCGAGTCTGTGTCCTCTTGGTCTGAAATCTACATCCAATCATCTATCTTGGTGTAAACTCCCTCTTGCTGTTCGGAGCACGGCTCAGCGCTGATCAATGAGCATGGGGTTCCCACACTTCTTAGCTTGCCTCAGAGCCTTCCCGAGCACTGCAAACATCCTTGACGGCCCCATACTGCCCCTGTCAGCTTCCTCTCCGGCTCGTTCATCTGACAACCCAGCACATCCATTAAGAGTGTAAAGATCTTTGCAGGCTACAGCTGGTCTGCCTGCTTGAATGTCCAGAAGCGGGTCAAGGCATGCTGGCTGGCATTTTTTGCCTTTCCTGTTTGCACGTTGTTTGCATGTTGTCTGCGTTGTGGTGCATTGCTTTTTGTGGGCATTTGCTGTTTGTATTTTTCCGTTGCAGGCGTTCTTGGCGCTTGGTGCTCGCGTCACGACTCGCGTCCTTTTTGCGTTGTCAGCTGTGTTTTGCGAGAGGACACAACAACAAAAAAAGCCCCCCAGCCCCAGCCCCGGCCCCGGCCGCGGGCCCGCTCCGTGCCAGGCAAAAAAACTGCAAAGCGGGAACGCAACAAACGCCAACGCAAACACAACGCAAACCCGAAACGGTAAAAACACACACACACACAAACCCGAAAAGCTTAATAATAAAAAAAAGGCAAACCCGATTGCACACGCCACAAAATCCGAACCCAGAACACACCAAAAATGCAAACGCCAAAAACTTGCAAACCCGGAAGGAAAAAAATAACAAACTCAAACGCCCAAAGCACGCAAACTTGGAAGAACAAACAAAAAAGACAAAACAAATTGCGAAACATAGTTCTGAACACATACCCAGGCTGGGGCCCAGAGATTCTCATAACATTAAGAGAACTCCCTGGCCATCTCTCACCGCCCCAGGTTCTTGAGTTTTTGCCACGCATCTGACGATCTACGACACTTGTGTTTTACTGGGCAGTGTCGAACTTCGAACGCCAGAACTTGCTTGATCAACTCGGTACGTGCAAGACAGGCTGGAGAAATGCAGCAATAACAACGAGCCTGCTTCCAAACACAATGGAGCCCTGGCACTCTGCGTGGTGTCCTTGATTTCGGTGGGTTCAGGAATAGGCATCTGGTCTGTCTCAGTTCGCGATCATTTGTATCGTGCTGAGCACTTTCCGTGCTCATCATCCATGCTCAAAGGATGTTGGTGTGGTCGGAACACGTCGAGATCTAGGAAAAACGGGCCCGTGTATTGGCAGAACCTGCCTGCCACCGGGATCCACCCACCATCGAAGGTTTGTGGAGAAGGTCTCGATGGCCCGGACCAAGGCCACCAGTGCGACATGGAGAAGGGACGATCATCGAATGGTTACTAGCAAGAGGGAGTCGACCAAATAGAAGCAAGACGCTGGCGCCTCTAACCTCAACTAATCTATTTGCCCTGACCAGACCGGGCTGTGGTTTCACAAAACTGTGCTTGGGTGTGTACGTACGACCAAGTTTCCTGCCTCTCGCGAGTCTGGCGCAGGCAAAGCCAACAAGGGCTGCCTATCCCCATGCAAGGCTGCAAGTTACGTTGGAGCTCGTCCAAACACACCTCACACCCGTGCCTCCTCGAAAGATATGCCCTCGAAATCGCGGCGAGCGAACCTGGGATCGGCCGGAGGCAGTTCAAGTTTAATGACTACCAGATAGTTACCCGTCTTCGGCTGCCTCAGAAAGCAGTGGCAGTGCGGAGGATGCTTGTGCTCCAGTCAGGTGCGACTACCTCGGTTTTTTCCTTGACTGCGCGTGCATCATCAACAGACTTTGTTTGACAAAGTCTGGACATACCTGTGAGGTCTGCACACCTCAACTTGTCAACAGGCCACTACCCGCGTCTTTGGACGCCTTCTGCGTTCTAATGGATATGCTGCGATCATCCATCTATGTGACCAAAGCACCGGAACCTCGCTTGCCTCCCGGCCAGGTCAGTTCTTCAGGATGCCCTTGGCTAGTCCACCAAACCTGGGGCAATCGCTGGTCCAACGTTGCGAAAGACTGCTTCGCTTGTTTTTTGCTACATTTTGTCATGTCAGGCGGCCGTGAGTCACCAGGCTCAGGCGGTGTTCTCGCGAAGCTGGTTCCAGCTGGTGGGTGATGCTGCCTCAGCTCGCACCCTTCAGGATTTGCTGTGCGCCGCGCCAACATCTGAAACGTTTTCTTTGGTGGGTTCTGCCGAGAATCCAGGTGGCATCCCAGTAGTCCGGTGCTTTGTAGTGGCCAGGTCCGGGTGCACCAGTGATTTTCGCCTGCGAAAGACCTGTGAAGATGAGAGCATGTCTACAAAAAAGTCACCGTTACGGGCACATCCCGAGCTTGCCTATACCCTTCTGCTGGGTAAAGGTGACGAGCGATGGCGATTTGTGAGACGAAAGCCTCAAACAACTGCAACATGCAGGCTCTGTAGATGTCTTGAGCTCAGAACTCTGAAGTGAAGCACTCTGCACGGGCCAGCACTCTACACGGTACTCAGCATTGCATCGGGAGCACTGCTTCTGCGCCGGGTGTGAAAGACCGATCTCCTTCTCCCACACCATTGCTCCGACAAGATGGGTGTCGTACCTAGAAAAGTTGTCTCATCCTTTCTTGAGACATTTTTTCTGCGCTGCTCGGCTCCGAGCTCGCCGGGGCTCAGGTCATTGTCGATGCCGGCCTTGCGAATTTTTTCAAAAGCCCAGATTCACACCCAGAATGAAGAAGATACCGCCATGCAGCCCTGCGGCATAAATGGGTGGTCTCTTGGAGACGCCGAAGCCGCGCTGAAAGTTGGGCCTGCTACCAGAATGCAAGATGTCAGCAAAGCAAAGACATCCTCGCACGTCACCACATCACCCAGCATCCATCAATATCCGTTAGGCAGTCAAGCCGAATTTGGCACCCGGGAAAGGAGCATTGCACCCACGGGTGCCTTTGAAAGAACGAGGACGAGTTTGACATCGACATCACGCCTCCTCGCGATAAACCAGGCGACGATATCAGGCTTCACGTTCATGTGTTGCTGCACGTGACCCTTGAAACTCCCTTTCCTGAGTGGTGGCGTGCTTCGGCAGAGGCCGCGTGAAGGTCAGGTGCACTGCGACGCTTTGGCAAGTTTGACCTTGAGCATCGCTCACGATCTCGAACAGGGACTGACAAGCTACCTCTCAAAGAACTTGGTGTGAGGCATCTTGTCAAATTGCCGGACTGCCTTTTTCTCATAGTTCCTGCAGAACGATAAATCATACCCACGCAAATTCACATGCATCCTAAATTAAACCCCGAGGCAACGATGGTCCTCAAATCTTTCTTGTCTGCTTTGGAAACAACATTCTTGGCGAACACTTGGCCTCAGCTAGCATGGGATTGCGGAAAGCCTTGGCTTGTGCAATGCTACGAAAAAATGAAGAATGGAGTGCCGCTCTTCCGCTATACATGCAGGTATCCCCGCGGAGAACGACGATTGCAATGATCATGATGATCTGTCAAGCTGTGTTCCAAACAACCTTGTTTACACCCAAAACTCAAGATGTTTGGAATGCAGTAGAACACATCAGAAGCAGGTGTTGCGAAGACCCTTTTTTTCCGTTCGGCATGTTTTGTCCCAGAGCCTGTAGTAAGCAGTAGGTCTGCATGTGGCCCGGAAAACCTATTCCAGAATGTCAGCCTGACTCCCTACGTCAATGTCGCTCTGCTTGGCGCTACATCGTGGTTTTTGAATGTTTTAGACCTCATGCCGACTACCTCAGAGGCTGCTAAACTGATTGACACCATCCTCGAACCCACTTTGTGCCAAGCAGAGGCAGGCGGTTGCTACCAAGGCAGATAGGAGGACCATTAGGCTATGGAGTGTGACATGGGATCTACGAAGAGAAGATGAAGGGAGAGAGAGAGAGCGAGAGAGAGTGAGATACGAAGTCAGGCAATGTGGACAAGTATCACAACGAGTTAAAAAACCTCCCGGATCCTTGTATCAGGGTCCTGACCTGTATCTATCTTCGTAAACTTGAACTCCCATCTGAGCTCCCGGCCTTTCTCGATGTGTTGCAGGATCAGCTCAGTTGCCTCCTGGGAGGAGAGCTGCGCTGGGACATGGTCCCACGGGAGCTGCCTCGGTCAGGTCATGTCGCCTTACTACGATTGCGACTAATATTTGGGTGTAGCACTGTTTAAGGGGTCTTTACGTGAAAACCGAAAGGAGCAGGTCGCTGTGGTTTTTGCTGTAGCACGGTACGCGTAGTGAACCAAAATCGCACCGGTCCACCTGGCAGGCCAAATTCATTCTTGCTGCTGCTCCTCCTGCTACTCCCGCTACCACCGCCGTCACCACCACCACCACCGCCACGACTACTTCCTACTGCTGCTGCCTCTGTCCTCCTCCTCCTCCTCCTACTACTACTACTACTACTACTCCTCCTCCTCCTCCTGCTGCTGCTGCTCTTGCTACTGCTACTGCTACTGCCACTGCCACTGCCACTGCCACTGCCACTGCCACTGCCACTGCCACTGCCACTGCCACTGCCACTGCCACTGCTGCTACTACTACTACTACTACTACTACGACTACTACTACTACTACTACTACTACTACTCCTCCTACTCCTACTTTTCTCTAATGCTACCACAACTACCACTCCTGCCACTCCTGCTGCTACTATTACTCAAATTATTACTCTACACCACCCCCTCGGCCGCCGCTGCTGCTGCGACTGTTGGTAGTTGTAAAATTGTCCAAAGTTGTCATCATGGCATTTCACGTGCTGAATACTGCTTCATACCCTTATTCCTACATTTACTCTAGTGTACAAGCTATGAGCACCACGATTCATTTCATTGCCATTGGTTTGGGCAACATGACCATTGTCGTTACCCTTATTGCTGGAGTTTGCTCACATCGTTCTTTAATGCCAACATCGGACTTTGGGAAACAGGTGACCCAACCCTACTATAGGCCATACATAGTAGAATCCTGATAAACAACATCCTCAAAAAGAACCCAAATAATTGAGAAACTGTACTGTCATACATCCCGTGTCCGCATGAACTTCCGCCTACCGGCATAGATGCCAAGCAGCTCGTCCCGAGGCATGCAGGGCACATGCAGGGCACTCGATGCTCGCAGGCATCACCCTTTCTTGAACCAAGCAATGCACACAAGCTTGAAGTCCAGCATGGCAGTTTCCCTCATCCCTTCGCCATCACTCTGCACCGCTTGCAGGAGCAGGCAGCTTTTTGAAAGCATCACTGCGACATCACCTCACCGGCAGAGAACCCGTGCACGACCCGTTGGCCGCATGGAAACAACACGGTCGCAGCCAACATCACACAGGTATATGCTTCCCTATGGTTCAGGCTGTATGCTGGCATGCTGCACGACTCCTCACACTCCGGAGAAGGCACCTGCATCTACCGCATCTACCGCGGAGCGACAACCCTGCACATCGGAGCCTCGCAAAGAGGAATCTCCTGGCGTCGCTCGCCCACAATGCAGCGAGTGTTGGAAGGCTTTGTAGAGGACTCTGCTTTCGATGAGACCTGCTCGGCGAATTGAAGGATATTCTCAGCTTGCTGCCGCAGTGGGCAGAAGCTCTGCTAATGCGGGCGGAGTAGAGTCAGAAGCCTGCGACCGAAAAAACACAAAAGATGCAAATGCTCTGAATCGAAATAAGTGTGCTTCGGCAGCAAGACCAGCGCCTCTGCTAGCGATGGACCTGTACCTCGCAAGGCAGGTGCTACCTCGAATCTCAGGTGGCACTCCCACGAACACCTGGTGGATGAATTTTGAAGCTGACCTCGAAGTGGCCCTGAGCAAACTCTGAGCTGCAAGCATGCAAAAGTGAGAACACCGCCACACCGTGCCTTCTCGTTCCGGTGCTTGAATCCGGTCAGCTCCTTGTCCACACTGCAGGTGCAGTGCATCTGGGGGCCGCTGGTGCAAGACATTGCGGCCAGGTATCGAGTCGACCCAGCTGGGCAGTAGACTTGAGTACCGGGTAGTCGCCGACTATGAGGCACCAGTCCGACAAGCCTAAAAACACTGCAAATACCACGGGCCGAGGCAGGCTCTTGCTCGAATACACTTCAGAAGGCTTTAGGACAAGCTGTCCAAGTTTAGTTTAGGGGATCAGAAACCCTAAACCCTGAGACCGAATGATAATGTTCAGGGCTTCTTCAATGAAAGATCCCAGGGACTGATAAGCTGCACTGGATCTGGGAGTTCTTCCTCTGGCCGGTCCACACTGCAGAAGGCACTGCCGTAAAGCTCCTCTGGCTGAGCTTTGGTTTAGGGTCCAGGTGTTAGGGATGTTTACGGCTTCGGGTTTAGGGTTTAGGGCAGTTTAGGTTTAAGAGGTTTAGGTGGCTTGACAGAATAGCTGTGGTAGCAAGGTAGCATTTCTGGACTATTCGTCTTCTTCTCAGTTAAGGTGTCAAAACTACCGATACTGCTGAATTGCTTCTGTATGCTTCTGTATAGTAATGCACAACATGCAGGTTGTGTACAGCGGACTTGTACCAATGTGTTACAGAAGTGCTGTCGTCCCGTCTCGAAAACAATGGTTTATGACTCCATGACAGTACTTCTGGTTCATTGTTGGGGATATATTAAAAATGATCATTTTTAATCCTTGTTGGGTTTTATTATAACAAAAATGTAAAATTGTATCCAACAAGGACCCAGACTTGAAGAGCTGGCATGTTCGCTGTCCTTGGCCATGGCCTGGCACCGGGGGTTTTGAAGAGCACACAGCCAAGACGTCACTTGCAGCTGGCGACTGGCCTTGGGCAATGTGAACACCCGGAAGGCAGCGTCTTCCGAGACTTTCTCGGCGACCAGCTTTTCAAACCTTAGTCTTGAAATTCAACCGTTGGACTCCTTGAGGGGTGCTTCGATTCGATGTAGAGTCGTCTAAAGTCTTCTGACTCTGGGCCCGCGGCTTTGTTCGCTGTGGCTTCGATGGAAAGGTCTCCACGGAGTTCAGCGTAAGTCGACCCGAGAGGTCGTTGCAGGGCTTCACTGCCTCCTGGGGTTCCAGGATCTCGAACCGGCAAATTACCAAAAAAGGCCCTTCATTGCAACATACCGCAGCTTGCATCGGAAACCGTTTGACGAGGCACCGTGGTGAGGGCCAGCGGAATCTCCAGAGCTCTTGCGGCGGCGCCCTGAGGTCCCGAGCTTGCGGGAGACTCGAGGCAAAGTCTGCACAAAGTGCAGCTAATTACGAGTACGAGTATCTGCAACTCAACCTTTTGCAGGTGCCTTGATCACCGCCAGCGCGGCAGCGAAGAAGGGGCTTTCTCTGGTCTCCGCACAGGGCCCTGGACTCGGCTCGCGCAGCACCGGTGCAGGGCTGCTTCCCCGCGCGGCCGCACCACCTCCGAAGCGATTCGGCTCAGACCCACCGAAACCGTTGCGAGCCAAGTGCAAAAAAAAAAAAGGCACTCGCAGGCCTCCCGGTGAAGCACCGTCGGCGCACATGACACTGGACCGAGGCTCCCCTACAACCTCTCTCTACTAGGCTGGCACCGTGCGACCTTCGAAGGCTCATGTGCCTGTCTGCTCTGAGGCTTTGCAGCTGCAAGCCGACCGAGAAAGCTTGCTCAACTCACTCGCAGATCCTTTCGATCCTCAGTTTCACTGAATGACTGGGCACGGCTGAGTCCTCCACCCACACGCCGAGTGCTCTCCTGCTGCTACCGTACAGAAATTCCGCGCGTGCTACTTTCACATGGTACACCCGAAGCACAGCGAACAGATTCGGATCGATGACGAAAGTTGCTCAGCCACGCTGCCGACTCCAGCAGCGTAATCCAATATACCCATTCAACCCCTTTCACCATACCCACAATCCCACTCCCGATGGGCAGAAAGCCAGAATGGACTCTCTGTTCCTGCCTCGGACAGCATAAAGCTGTCGTTACGTTTCGCAAGCGTCTCCTTCAAGTGCATTGCAAATTCAACAGCGTTCGAAAGCAAACATGACTTTGAGCTTGCAGTTTGAGCTCACCGACCCCCGGTGCACCTGCAACATGGCCAAGAAGCGCGGCAATCCTGGGAAATGAAGGAGTATGACAGTAGTTCTGTTAGCCTATTCGTTCAGACGGAAAAGGCAATCCTGGTGAAAAGCCAGTATGCTGCAAAGCACCGCCACCTTGCCATCNNGGACACAAGCACTTACACAGAATCGCACATGGCACAACACTCCGAGCTCCTAACTGAAAGTGCGTTGTGTCACATCTCCTGTGCGCGATTTCCGATAGATCTACAGCCGGATACATGTTCTACAGCCGGATACATGTCAATCTGCACAGTGACAATTGTCTTCTTCTAGCCGATCGTTCAAAGACTGGCTGCCACCTACTGTCCGGGAGAAAGACCTTCGCGAGTGCAACATCGAAGCATCATTGACTCGTCGAGCTCAGACTACGATCCGGGGAGTTACTCGCAGCCAAAGCCGAGTTCTGCTAAGAAGAGCACCTTCTCTTCTTGCCACATTCTTACAAAAGCCGTTGCTGTCAGGTAGAAAATTTCGCTCGACGAATTTCCAGGCGGAAGGCGTTGTCAACCCGGTGCCGAGCCGATGGTATTGCTGAGACGGCTCTTCGGAAGCCGCCGTGGTGTTCATCCCGCCTGCAGCTGATCTTTCCTCCATGTTGTGGAATGGTCGCACGACCTGCAATCATCTGTAGTCATTCATCGAGAAGCCGAAACTGAGTTGACAGAAGCATGTTAATGAGTACAAGCCACTCTTGACACAACTCAGACAACACTAATACAAGCCTGCAAGCCAACCGGAACTTGCTGCAGGCAGGCAAGACACACGTCTCTACTTTCAATATCACACACATGTCACCACATGCGTGAAGTCAAGATCGGAAGCCGGACAGTGTTTGCAACTGTTGCAAAGGCTGGTGTTGGCTCTTGCCTCAATTTTCCGCATTTGCAAACATTCAAATCAAGCCAGTGACCGTCTCGACCGCTTGGTGATGATCATGTAGACGCCAGTGCACCTCGGCACAAGGCTCAGGTCATCCGCTCACCTCCTTTGGCCTCGACGGACAGATCCGGAACATAATCTAGCAGGACCGACAAGAGCTCCACTAGACACGCATCCTCATCGATGACGGGGATCTAAGCATCCGTCCAAAGATGCCAGCCATGGGTCGTGCCCTCTACGTGCCGTCGGAAGAAGATCATCCTGCAGCACCTCCCATGATGAGGTCAGAGTCACCAGATTACGTAGCAAACGCCATCAACCAGAAGGAGGAAACTACAATGATAATCCTTCACGCAGCAATGGTCGAGACAAGAGGACAGCAAAATGCTCGATTGTGTGGCACACGCCGTCGCTCGGCAGCGATGTCTGGATCACTGAGCTCGACGTGTTGCGCAATGAGCCTGAGGCTGGAAAGAAAAAATGGACCCTTTGCATTGGGAAGAGTCCAAGACTAGGACATTGCCAAGGGCCAGTCATCCATGTACCGGACACAGACCTCGGAACCGCGGGCTTTGACTCTCTGCCGGTTCTGCAAAAACACCACAGCACAGAGGAACTGTTTTCAGTATGCCAGTCATGGCATGCTCTGCGCGGAAGAGGAGTGCATGGAGAACCAGCAGATTGGCACAGTTGTTTCGAACAACAAACATCCAGAACATAAAGATTACGAACTTCCTTGCCATCGACTTGGAAGTCATGGTCATGGGATCAGGGCTTCCGCAGTTCGCCCCATGCCTTGAACATGCCAGTTGCCAAATAATGTCTTCTCAGAAATCCAACAGTACCCGTCGAGGCCACCGAGTCCTTCGCACATGACTCACCCAACAGCAAAGATCTGTCATCGTCGTTGCCCCACTCGCCGCTGCCAAGAGCACAGCCAGACTGCCTGATGCTCGTGCAGCTCCAGGTAGCAGCAAGTAGCACGCACGCACGCAACCGTCAAGTTGCAGGACACCTGGAATGGCCGCTGCAGCCTCTGCATGCCTGTTGCCATCCCTGGGCGTAAAGTCAGCAAATCGAGGAGAGCCTTAAGACTTCACAGCAGATTGCAACACTCGGACAGAGACCAGCAGCTCTGCGGTAGTAGGATTGCGAGCATCTTCCAGCTTCAGGGCACCGCTGAAACCCTGCGGCAGTATCCCGGAGATGGCAAGGCTTGCAGTCCCCAAGAGTTCGTCATTACGTCTGTCTCGGTCAAAGACCTTGAAGACCAAAGTCTCCTTCGGAGCTACTGAAAGCTTCTGCGCGAAGTTCCACGTTGGATCGGAGCTGTCTTCAACAACCGGCGTTTGGAACTCTTTTTTGGTACCCGGGACGCTCACTGCCACATAAGCATCTGATCCACCGGAACCTCCGAAGCTCCAATCAGCATTGCGCAAGCCCTTGGCAGCCTTCACCGTCACTTCAATCTCGTGCACTTTCGGGGGCTTTGGTGGAGGAGGCCGCTTGGGTTGGCTTTGGCTCGCCTTCAGCGCATCGGCCACCGCAGCCGCGTCATAGAGCGCCCTCAAAACCTTTGAGCGAACGCTCAAGAAGGCCGTGGCCTTTCCAGTCTCTTGCATTTCCAACTTTCCTTCGAAACCATCCGGCAGAAGCTTGGCAACTGGCAGTGAGACTTTCCCGAGCAGGTCGTCAGCATCGCCATCGTCGCGGTCCATGACTTTGAAGAGCACCTCTTCCTCTGGGGCCAGGACCAGCTTGCCGCTCTTCTTCCACACTGGGTCGGAGCTGTTCTCAACCACCTCGGTCTGGAAGCCCTTGCTGCTTCCCGGAACCTCCACCAAGCAGTAGGCATCGGAGCCACCAGAACTTGCCAGGCTCCAGTCGGCATCACGCAGATTACTCCTTGGTCGATCTCGTTTCTGGAGGCAACTCGGAACACGTTTATATCAAACGGAACCATCCTGACGACATGCCCGAAGTGCGTCAACAGAGTGCCAAGCTTCGCTGATAATATGTCCAAGAGAATCTCATATGCCAGGGGATCCGTTGTGATGGGTTTGATGCTCTTCCGTTCTTCAACAGTGCTCTCATCCGATACCTTGCGGACACAGGGGAGTCAGCCTTCAAGCCGCAGCGAATCTTCTGATCTCAGTACAGTTGGTTTTGGTGTATCGCCTACCGTATGATAACGTAGGGACTGTAAGGTGGTCCTCTTACAAATTCATGCCATGCCGTGCCGTGCCTCAGCAGATCTCATCGGTTCCTTCTCAGGAGGCTCTTCTGGAGCCGCCTGAACATGGCGAGTGGATAGAAGCTTATCTGATTGACCTTGTGGCCCTCACTCGGTCACGATCGATTATGTGTCCGTCGCTCAGGATTGCCGTTCTTCTACCCTACATGGGATTGACAGCTGAATTATCGGACCAAACAACGGCACATGGCTGCTCGTCTGATCCGGATGCCTCTTGCACTGGAGCTTCCTCGTTTACGGGCTCTTGTGGATGCTCTGGCTCTGCCTCAGGGAATATACCAAGTACACACGGAGATTGCCAGGATCCAAGAATCCAAATTCCGCCTGACTGGGGGCTTCTTGGAGCTGTGTCTGCACCTCCGGCACCTCTGGTTCTGAAGGAGCTGGGTCCTGCGTCATGGCTCCCAGTGCTTGCCCAACACTAGTCACTAGCCGCTACTGGAGTTTGCTCTGGCCTCTGGTGTGGGTTCCGGCTCTGGCGGTGCGTCCTCTCTTTGGCATACCTGCCCAGCACTTCAAACTCGAAGAGGATCAAGCAAGATCTCGCAGCGCTCTCCATGCCCGGCCTGCTCCACGTCATCACTCGTGTCATCGGCAGAACCAGGGTCATCACATTGCACCGCAGGCAAAAACTTGAGCAGCCGGGCAGTTGACTCCCAGCCGTGTGCTTCCGCCACATCTTCGGGCAGCCACCCTGCATCATCCCTTGGAAAGGTCCAAAGATTGGCTAAAGTTAACGCTCTCTCTCCCCGCAATCTGCCAAAACCACCCAACCTTGCGTGCAAGGTCGCGGGTACCAAGAGGTAGAGCAGCCGGAGCAGAGAGTCCTGCGTTAGAGAGAGCACTGAGGACCTTCGTAGGCTACACTTTTCATGGTCGTGTCGCCGTCTCGCCGTCTCGCCGAGGCTCGCCTGTCCGGTCTCCGCCGCCTCATGGGCCGCGCATCGGCCATGCAGGTCGCGAGCTGAAAGAGTTTCCGGCGCCAGCTCCCTCAAGAGCAGCCTTGGAGCTGCAAGTTGGAGAAGAAGTTGGCCCGGTCGTGGGGGTATGATGATCATCATTAACATGGTCTTGATGACGATGATGATGACGACGATGATGGTGGTGATGGTGGTCCCGGTGGTGCCGGTGGCGATGATGAAACTGATGAAACTTATGATAGCGATGATACTGGTGATCATAATGATAGAGGCTAGCCACACTGGTGACTCTTCATCTTACTGACTTCAGTGCGCAGTATGAGACGCCCTAGTGACACAGGTGCATCTCAGATGCCCATAGTTTTCGGCTGTGTTTCATGTATTTTCTGGAAAACTGGCAGCTTCCCCAAAATTGATCTCGCCCCTTATTACGCCCAAGAGCCCTGCAGCATCCTGAAACCTTTGCTGAGTTTCATCGTCTCGATGTGGCCACCGAAAGCCGCATCGTGTGCCGGCGTTGCACCTGCTCACGAAAGGAAACTTGTGCTGTCACCTCCAAATCGGGCAGCAAGGTCAAAAGATGTGGTGCTGCAGGTCGCACCTGTCGCCGACTTTGCCACGAGGCTGGTTGGGTTGATCTGGTGCAGATGTAGCAGTACGTGGCTGTGGCCTCGCCCGATTTGGAAGCCCTACCTGACTGTGAGACTGTGATGGAGCTCAAGCTGGCAGCTAGGCCCGGGCCTTGAAAAGCTGCATCGTGAGCGGGAGTTGCTCCGTTGCGAGCGTGTGCTGTGAGCGTGTCAGGCACCAAGGAAGCCAAAACCTTCAACACCTCCACCTGCTGCGGCCAAGCGCTTCATGGAAATGGGGAAATGGGTGCCAACAGCTCCGAGCTTCCCACCTGGCCGCTCAACGCCGCCCAATGCGCAGGGGTGCGACCGTCGGCAGCGCAGCGCCGAAGGCTCTCCGGATCCTCTGAGCCCACTGCGCTTTACGCTTTCGAAAGGCGCAGGCTTCGGAAACATAGGCACTCAGAGTCGGGGTCCATACTGTGGAGCAGCTCCAGAGTTCGAACCTTCCCTTGCTGGGCGGCCACATGTGCGGCGCCATGATACTTTGCAATCGCCCCAGGTGGGGCAGACATCGAACTACAGCAGCCTCATGCCGGGCAAACGTTAAATTTCGAGCCAAGCAAAATGCTACGGTTTACATGGGCTTGCAGACGTTTGGAGAGGTGAATGCTCGTCGGTGGTACTGAAGCATTCAAGCCGAGCCGTCTGCGTCAATGGCATCCCGTGCCCTCTGCGAGAAGACGAAGAAAGCACATGCCAGTTCGAAGCGGCGCTGTCGCACCTCTGAAGGCTTCCGGCCAGAGAGCACAGGATGCCAGATTCTCTCGAACGGGAGCCGAGCGAGCTCAAATGCGTTCTTCTCGGCCTCCGAGCATTCCAGCTAATCGAAGTCCCCCAACGAAAATCTACTACAGCGACAGTCTCGCGGCAGATCAGAGAAGAAACTCTCTACAGCAAGCGCTCAAAAACCGCTAGATGGCATCCTTCCACTGCACATGACATGGCTATACACATCACAACATCCCTCGACACGGCCATCAAAGTTGGGCAAGCTTTTTGCTTCCCTTTCAGAATCCATCTTGTGACAGCGCTAGAACCCTTGTACCATTCGAGTATTTACAACATTCTGCACAGGAGGCTTCACTCGGTTTCGGCAGCCTCGTCTGTGTACTCGTAACTTGGATTCACGGTTCATCATCGTAAACTCTTGTTGTAAATTTCCGATTGTAAGCTTCATCGAAAAACTCCTGATTAGTCATGTCCTGTGATTTTTGGAGCAGCGTGAGAAGGCGTGGCTCAGCTTCCGCAACGTAGATCTCCTTGACAGCCCCTGCATTTGCTTGAAGAATCATAGCAAGCCTGTGGCATTGCATGAGTTGATGGCACCTATATGCTCAACTCTCTTTGACTGCCAGGCGCCATTGAACATGGACAGGGCCACAGCCGTAACAATGGTCATAGGATGCTCCTGTGCCATGAAATCGACGTTGTAGCGAAGCAGCCTTTGTCCCACACTTCTACTGCGGGTTCGTCCAAGCTTGTAGAAGTGGTTCCCGTCTGCATCCACTAGAGCTCGCCAACCTCAGCTTTTGCGGGTTTTTTCTGGTCTTGTTGCATGGCGATTCTGTCCATCTGTTGCTTGATGATCTGGTCGTTCTGCTCAATAACAGCCCTCTGTCCGCTATGGCTTTTGGCAACCTGGTACTTCTCCACCGTAAGCAAGAGGCTTTGTGCTGATGATGTGTCGCACACATTCTGCAGCGTCACCGTAAACCAAATCATGAACTGCCTGGTTCTCGCTCGGGTTGACCCCCAATCCCTTATCGCTTGTGCCATAGCCGCTCATCATTGGAAAAGCCTGACCCTAAACCTTTGACGGGTTTGAAGAAGGAGGACTCAGGCCGGCCCTGGCAACAAGATTGGTCGTCTGAGGCACTGGTATCTGCAGTTCCTTGGCATACGTGCACAGTTGTTGCCATCTGGTATCCTCAGCCAGGGCTTGTAGGCACTGCATCAGGCGTGGCACCGAGCCCTTTTTTGCAATGGCATCAACCAAGCTGGTGGTGGTATTAAGGTCGAGGCCCTGGGAGAGGCACAAAGAAGCAGCTCGTGTCTGAGCCCACTGCTGGTTTTCCTCTTTAACACCTCCACCCACGCAGTTGGGGTGAATTGTCAGCAGCAAGTGCCCGGAGCGGCGGATCACTCAGGTTCTGGTCTGCAGCCGAGTTTCCTCAATGGTAGTACCACAGGGTATGGGATGCGGTCCTGAAAACACCCTAGCACCGGGGGGCAAATTGCATGCAGTGGAGCGGCATCACCATTGCTCCAGCTCGCTGACAACCAGGCGGGCAGGCAATGTACCCCACCATTTTCTGCAGGCTTCAACCTGGATTTCAACTGAAACTGAGGGCAGGTCAGCTGTGCTGGCTTGGTGAGCACCCTTCTGTGGAGGGAAATTGAGTACAGAAGAGCTCCATCCGAACGCCTGTGCAAGATGGAAGGGAAAACCCAGCCAGGCATCGACGGCTGCGGACGCCGGGCACTCCAAGCGGAGCTCATCCGCATCTGTTTGGTTACACATCTGCGGCAGCGCCTTGGCGAGCAAGTGCATCGGCAAATCTGGGGCGACAGGGTCTTGCGTGGTTGCAATCACACATCGCCCAAACTCCTCAGCATCGCGAACTCTACAACCACTAGGACTCCAATAGCACAACTCCTCACATTCGCTGGTCAGGCTGTCAAAGACATTCAGGAGTTGCGGCCAGACAGTGCAGAGACCTTTTCTGGTTGCGGTCTCAGTAAGAAAACCACGACCCTGCAGGAGCGGCAGCGAAGGCACATGCAGTCTGAAGCTTGTCGTAAGTTTGCGGTGGCAGCAGGGAGGCGTATTGAGCCACGCCTAGGTGCCTAAAAGCCCTAAGCGCAGAAGCCCCAGCCGGAACTTGGATGGCCCTTGCCTGTTCTTCCTGCAGGAACGTGACTGTCACAAAATCTGTCGGGGCTGAGCTTTGTTGCGGCGGAGATTTCGGAAGCATGCCGGAGGTTGTTACCCCCGCTGCTCGGTCTTTGCGGCACAGGATCCAATCCCTACCACACGGGAGGAAAAGCGCATTGTCATTGTGAAGACGGGCCTCAAGGCATTTAGCTACAGCTGCCGGTGGCTCTGGCACTTCAGCCCGGCCCAAGGCACGACACGCGACTGCCAACCCTGCTGCTGCGTGGGGCACGGCTATGGCGTTGCCAAGCATTCTCATCTGGGTGCGCCTAGTCAGCACCAAGCAGTACCGGCCGTACCGCTCCATGAGTGGCCGCAACCTCGGCCCCTGCGAAGAAGCTAAGGTTGCCTCTGTGACGCAACACAAAACCCAACAATCCCTTGGATGCAAGCTGTCCCTCTGGCAATTCATGCTGAAACTGGTATTGCGCCAGGAAGCAGCCTGCAATGCCTGCTTCCGTGCGAACCCGAAAGTTCTCAACCCTCTGAGGCTGCTGGCTGCCAGTAGACGGAGGCATGTACCATGGATCAAAGTAGACAGACTTGAGCTCCTCCGTCAGCAACAAGGGCTGGAGCATGTCTGCGGGCAGGTCAAGGAAGACCCTGGCTGTAGCTAAGTTCTGCCGTTGCGCAACTGTCCAATTGATGCCTGGCAGCGCCGGGGGGCCGGTGCACGCACTATGCCTAAACACCAAGATAACCCTGACCCTGGAGCTGGGCAGGACGTCCAGAAGATCAAGTGTCGCCTGCCATTGCACCTTATATCCCACCTGTTGCCAAGCCTGCATAACGTGCGGGAAGTGGGCATGATGCAGAAAGCCAGCGACTTGCTCAAGAGTCACAATCGGAGGCTGAAAGGCCCCCAGGATGTCTATAGCTCGAAGCATGAGCCACCCATCTGCCGCAGCAAGGCCTGAACCCGTACCCGCCGCACTCCAGGGTTGGCACGGCGGGGATAGCGTCACCACGTGAACCGGACGGAGGCTGAACAACCGAAGCCACCAATCCCAGTTAATGTTTGCACAGACATCTAAGGCCTGAGGCGTGTCTGCTGTGATCTGTTCAAGCTCCAAGGCCTGACTGATACATTGCAGACCTGGGGTCTGCGCCTGTAACATGCGTTCGCAATCCTCATCGACATCAAGGGACCACTTGACATGCAATGGCAGCCCCGCTCTGTGCAGAATGTAAGCCGTTTGTGACCATCCAGCAAAACCCCCACTGAAAAGCTCAGCCATGCATATATTGGAATCCATGTTCAGAGCAGCAGTGCAAATGACCACAGTATTGACATGTGTGCAATCCAGCATGTACTCCTCGCCGCTGACGTGAATCAATGACTGAACGACCTTGATCACCCCTGAAGGGTCCTCAAGAGCAAACCAATCAGCATGTCTAAGCTTCAAAAGGACCTTGCGACTTGCGGATGTGCTCCCACTCTGCACAACATACGCCCGGGAAAGAAGGCCTGAATCAGTGGAAACAGCGTCCCCAAAAGGTTTGACCAGGAAATTCCGCCGATGACCGTTCATAGTAGGGCACAGTTCCTCTGACATGAGGGAAAGCCTTTGCCACATCAGCCGTGACCCCTCCTCTGAGTTGACCCCAGTCTCCGAAAAAGCCATGGCCCGATCAGTACCTCCCCGCTGGGGAAGGCTCGTGTAGGCTCGGACCAAAACGCTTCCTGACCCTAAACCCTATATAATAGCAACCCGTAGACAAAGCTCTAAACCGTAACTAACCAAGCTGTCCGGAGCCTTCGTTCTCCAGGGCTCCTCGGAGAGGTCGTTCGCGAGGAAGTCGGCAACCCGCATCTGCTTGCTCTGGCGGTAAAGCCTTGGGAAAACGCTCCGGGCACATCAGGGTTTAAGGTTGAGAGCTCAGGGTTTAGGACGAGGGCCAGGTTGAGGATGTATACAGACCGAAGTGTGCACATGCAGCCACATGCATACGCTTGCAGGTACATACATACATACATACATACATACATACATCCTTCCATCCATCCATCCATCCATCCATCCATCCATCCATGCATCCATCCATCCATCCATCCATCCATCCATCCGTCCATCCATCCATCCATCCATCCATCCATCCACGCATGCA